AAGAATAACCAAGAAAGTCTGACGGAGAATCTCCACAGACTATTATCATTTGCCTTTTTCACAAGTATACGTTGTAATGAGGAAGCTTCTTGGATGAGGAGCGAACGTCTTCAAGGAAACACACCCAAGGCCCAGTTGCCTTTTGGAAAATCACTTTGGGCACAACCATGAACCCAGGCGGTTGAGAACCTCCCATTCCGTCCACAAAAGTGGATGGTGAAGAGTTGAGAGGCATCCGACCAAGGCTGGCACACAAGACGCAGAAGGGGGTGGGATGTTGGTTTAAAGTAGATTTTTTTTCGTTTAATAAGTTTTCAGAGCACAAAGGAAGAGCTGGCACCGTTCGCTGCTGGAGTTCGGAATAAGAAAACAGCTCCTTCCCACCCACCACCCAGTTTGCAGCGGGCCAATCGCCCATCACCCACCCCTGGTACTGGCACAGTCTTTTCAGGAGGAGCAAGTTTTTTACAGAATGGAAGAAGATACCGACAGTCCGTGGGACATTAAGGGTTGTTGCAAAGTGGGTGGAGGGAAGGAAGAGAACCCCAGCTCCCTAGTTAAGAAAAAAAAAGAAAAGGAAAAAAAAGGAAAGGAAAGGAAGTCACGGTTCAGCCACCATAACTAGGCCAAGAGAGAGGTGACATGGCCTCAGCCTAGGCTGTTTTTTTTCTTTTTAAAGGAAGATGAAACAATAAGTTTTATGAATCTCCGGTAGTGTAAAAATTAACTTTGGGGAAAGCAGGAATGCTTTCTCCGCTCTCTTGAGAGAGGAAGAACCGTTGAAGCTGACCTGGAAGTGGAACAGCTGTACTGGGATGGGGAGGCAGAAAAATCTCACCTGGCCCAAGGCTGCTGAACTGAAGCGCCCAGAGCTTTTCGGGATCAGCCAGGCTGAAATTTACAGGCACTGAGGGGGGGATGTTAATAGTTTGAGGTGCGCAGATTCTTTGCTCCTGTAGCAGAGAGCAAATCTGCTTGGGGATCGGGGAGGAGGAAGAGAAGGGGAGGAAGAGGAGAAGGAGAAGAGAAGAAGGGAAGAGGAGACGGGGAGGAGGAAGAAAGGAGGAAGAAGAGGACAAGGGGAGGGGGAGCAGGAGGAGAAGGAGAGGAGGAAAAGAGAAAGGGAGGAGGAGGAGGAGGAAAGCCTGCGAATTGGTTGAAGAACTGGGGTTCCTATCCAACAGTCAGCAAGAACTGATCTGCCATTCCAGCTTAGTTTAGAGAAGACACACTTGGTCAGCAAGGCTCAAATGTGCTACAAAAACCTGCCTACTGGGTAAGGTGGGGAGGGGCTGTCTTCAGAGGGAGAGAGCAGCTGGACGAAGGGCCTGGTCTACTCCCCCGGCTAGGGAAAAACCCCTCCCCGAAAAGAAGATAACTTAAAATGCCTTAAAACGAGGGAGGGAGTGCGGCCTTCTGGGGTGTGGCCATGCTCCACCTGCTCCTGAGAAACCCAGCTCTCTCCTCGCCGGGAACCAAGGAGGAAGGCCTAGAAGTTTGGACTCTGTTCTGAAATACTCATATACTTGGTTTTAAAAATAAAATAATAATAATAATAATAAAGAGGGTCGTGGTTAGCACACCCGAGGGAGGAGGGAATATACAACACAACAAAGGAGGAAGATACTGGTCCCACTAGCCCATTGCTGCTCAACCTGGCAGCTTGAACAGGGGTGGACTTCAACTCCCAGAATCCCCCACAGCCAGCATGCTTCAAGGTGGGTGGACTTCAAGACCCGTGCTGGCTGGGGAACTCTGGGAGTTGAAGTCCACCCCTCTTAAAACCCGGCTAGGAGGAGCAACGCAGCACTAACGTCCCATATAATTGTGTGTGTGGGGGGGGTGTCTGCCGCAGGGCCCTCCCCAGCCTCGTCCCAAATGCGCTCCCAACGAGAACGGGGGTGGATGGGGGGAGACAGCCTCATTTCCGGGCCGAAGGAACCGCAGCGAAGGGAAAGGCAGGGTGGGCGGTCTCCGTCTGTGGGCTCGAGGCGAGAGCGGCCGTCGCCCGCTCTCTTGCCAGGGCCGGCTTCGCAAAAAGTGGCAGTGTCCAGTGTCCGTCATGGCTCAGGAAGGACGAGGAGGAAAGGGGAAAGGGGAGTTCGAGGCCCCCTCCTCCTCCTCCTCCTCCTCCCTCAGGCGAAGAAGACCACGAAGATGATGAAGAAGACGATCAGGATGAGGAAGATCTTCACCATCAGCCACCGGTTGGAGGAGACCGACTGGAAGTACTTCAGGATCTCCATGTGGGCGCCTTCCACGTTCAGCTGGGTGTCCTCCACGTTGGCGTCGATTCTACATTCAGGGGCAGGATTGCAGGGGGAAAAAAAATTGAGGAATGGGCTTCCTTAGAAGAGGCCCCCCACCCACCCACTTGCCTTAAGCTACTTAGAAGGAAAGTCCCAAGGGTGCTTTCTTTTTCAAGAGGCAAGTGGTCTTTCTGGTTATCCTTCTGAAGATGTTTTGCTTCTCTCATCCCAAGCTCTGACTGGAGGGTGGGGAACGGGAGGATTGATCCTCCTTGCAGACAGCTGGTCGTTTGCATCCTTTTTGGAGGGTCGTTGAGGCCACTTGGAGGTTTATCTGAGTCCTCGGGGTCACACCTGAGTGGTGCAAATGGGTGTGGAGCCTTCTTGGAACGGTTGAAAGGATGGGTGGGTTTATACTCCTTGCAGACAGCTCGTCGTTTGCATACTTTGAGAGGGTCCTTGAGACTCCTTGGCCCTCTCTCGACAGAGAGGGAGGGATACGACACCGTCTCTATCTCCAGTCTACAACACAGTCCTTTCAACAGTTCCCCAAAGGCTCTCCACCCCCATTTGCACCGCTCAGGTGACCCCGAGGACAGAGACAGGCCTCCAAGTGGCCTCAATGACCCTCTAAAAAGGATGCAAATGACCAGCTCTGCCTGTAAGGAATATCAATCCTTCCCTTCCCCACCATCCAGTCAGAACTGAAGAAGCTTCTTGGAGGACAAGCGAAAACGTCTTCAAAAGAAAAAAAAAACCAGAAAGTCCAGTTGCAACAACACAACTTTGGGACAACTGTGACCTTGGATGACTGAGAATCTCCATCAAGATAAAAGGAAAAAAAAATTAGAGTTTTTAAAGGGGCTCCCATGTTGGTTGATTGCTGTGTGCTTGGTTTTAAAGTTCTTAACAGCATATATAACTTGCTGTATGGTAAGATGGGCAGCCAATACATTTTATAAATGAATAAACATATTTAACATGTTCCGTTAATGACTGACCGCAGGGACGCTGCAGAAGCATCCCCTCAGCCTCTCTCCCGCCCCCCACCAATCCCAGCCCCCATAAGCTCAGGATGGGACTCCTCCCCATCCTATCACCCGTTGCACGCTTAACCTTTTGAAGATCTCTGGGCCTCGTGTCGGGAAAGGGCATTTCTGGGCACTTCCGCCACCTATCGCGCCCCTTAAATCGCTGAACAGCCTGCTTGTCTGTTTTAATAGCTGCATCCAGGAGGGGTGGGGCAGGGGGTCATTTCAGCAAAGCCAAATTTCCATTGCTGGGCGAGGCGGTCGTTAAGTCGAGGACTATTGTCCATTCGTCACAGATGGGGGCTACTAAGCGTTGCAGCCAATTCACCCCAACACAAATCAACTCTCTAAGGTTGTGGCTGCTTTAACGAGCCACTGGTGAGCGAACCGCAGCTTGCTTAGAGGCATGTGAGAAGCCAGCTCGGGCCTCTAACCTCTGGATTGTCTCTTCCTGTTCTTTGACCATGTGTGCCAGTTGCTGAAATATGGAGCCCAGCTCTACGATGGTCGATTCGATGTTCTGCATGGTGTCCGCCCGGCTCTGGATGTACGAATCCTGCAAAAAAAAGAGGGAAAAGTAAAGTTGGTATTATTTTTTTTTAAGCTTAATAGCTCTTTCAGCATTTTCCAAATCATTGTTTGGAAACATTAAACATAGTCTGCAAAGCTTCAAGATGGCCTCCTTTAAACCCGGCGATCTTATTGACAAATTTAATGCAAAAAGCCAGGGTGTGTGTGTGTGTTAGCAAACAGACTGGGATGAATGGATGGACGGACGGAGACAGGGAAGATGATGGAGAGATATATAGATAAATGATAGAAAGGGAGATAGGAATAGATAAAATGGATGAGAGGTAGATATAGAGAGTAGAAATAGAGTAGATATAGAGAGAAGAGATAGAGATGAGAAGATAGGAGAGAGGGAGAATGAGAATGATAGATAGGAGAAAAAGAATGACAGATAGATAGATAGATAGATAGATAGATAGATAGATAGATAGATAGATAGATAAACAGACAGACAGAATGAGATGAGAAAGATAGATAGATGAGAGAGAGAGAGAGAGAGAGAATGATAGATAGGAGAGAATGACAGATAGAGATGAGAAAGATAGATAGATAGAAAGATAGATAGATAGATAGATAGATAGATAGATAGATAGATAGATAGATAGATAAGAGAGAGGAGAATGATAGGAGAGAAAGAATGACAGATAGAATGAGATGAGAAAGATAGATAGATAGGAGAGAGAGAGAGAGAGAGAGAGAGAGAACATTCAATATCCTCCTTTATGGGCCCTCATCTCCATAGCACCTGTTCATTGATTAATTGCAACTGCTGACTCGTCCGATTGTCCATGTCAATGGCCACGTCTCCTGAGTACCGACGCTCGTCCTGAAGCATGCTGGAGCCCACTGCAGGAGGAGACAATGTCAGAAGCGGCGCCTCCAGGGGACGGCCGAAAGTTTCACACACGCACACACACGCACCTTCCTTCATCAGCCCAAAGTGATCCCCGCCACGGCGGATTCTACCCACCCGACAGAGTGGGGGAACTCACCTAGGTTGTTTGCAGGGAAAGGCGTGGTGGCCACCGGGGGACGGGAGAAATGTTCTCGCCGACTTTTCTGCTGCTTAAGATTCTGGGGAAAGAGGGCGGGTGGGGGGAGACGCAGGGCCAGGGGATTAGAGGGGGGGCCAGGGGATTAGAGGGGGGGCCAGGCAGACTGTTTTATACCCCTCCCCTCCCTCACACTGTATGTTATCTATCATCTACCAATCAGTCATCTATCTTTTTCCTTCCTTCCACTCTCCCTTCTTCCCTATCTCCCTCTCTCTTTCCCTTCCTTTCCATCTTCATCTCTTTCCTTCCTCCCCTTCCCTATCTTCTTCCTCCTTCTCAATTTTCTTCCTTCCTTCTTTCCTTTCTCCCTTATTTCTCCCCTTCCCTTTCTTCTTCTTCCCTCTCGATCTCCTTCCTTCCTTCCCTATCTCTCCCCTTCCCTATCTTCTTCCTCCCTCTCAATTTCCTTCCTTCCTTCCTTCTTTCCTTTCTCCCTTATTTCTCCCCTTCCCTATCTTCTTCTCCCCTCTCGATCTCCTTCCTTCCTTTCCTCCCCTATCATCTTCCTCTCTCTCGATCTCCTTCCTTCCTTCCTTCCCTCCTCCCCTGCCCTCAACAGCTAAGTAATTTAAAAGGGCTACTGCAATCTTTTTCCTTCCTTTTTCCTTCCCTTCCGCTCCTTCCTCCCTTCCCAACAGCTACCGCAACGGCAACTCCCCAGGGTGAAGCATGACAACCACAGCCGGCCAGTAACTCACCTCCGTCCGCACCTCCAAAACGGACTTGAAATCGTTGGACATGGAAGCCAACTTCGACTAGAAACGGAAGCAAAAAAGGGAGTCAAGCCAAAAATCGGACTTCCTTGTCCTGCTCAGGGGCCCAGAGAAAACTTCCCACCGTTTTTCTTGTTACCGGCGCTGCCCTGCCCTGAGCAGAATGTCCTAGCGGGGCGAATGTTTTACAGGAAGACTATTTTAGATGCGCCAAGGATGAGCTCGAGGTACCTGACACCTCGGCGCCAGGGAAAAAGCAAGGCACAAGTTCAGTCCTGCAAGAAGGGCACCGTGGCAGCCTTTCCCTCCTCGCCAATCTCCTCCCAGCTCCCCCAATTTTTTTAGAAAATCTTAAAAAGTTTTGCTGTCTTTCCGCGGCTCCGAAGCCTCACCTGCAGAGAAACCACCACTGTGTTGGAGTGGGTTTGCACATGCCTGCCGCTCAGGCTGCTTTTGGCTTTCACAAACTCCTGAAGTTGTGCGATTTGTTTGTTCAGGCTGTTGATGTCCTGCGAGGAGGGAAGGAGCCGGTTTGAGGGAATAGGAGGGCAGTGAGAACCGACGGAGCGGCTGCGTGTTCTTTTCAGCCTGCAGGCTCCGGACTTCCTTACCTGCTTGATGATGTAAGTCAGTTCCTCTATCTCTACCGCCTTGTCGTCAAAGAGCGATTTCCGTTTGGCCACTGAGTAGGCAAAGAGTCAGATCCAGGGTCATTATTTTTTTCTTTTGCTTGCCTTCCCTGTATCCCCCAGCAACCAATCTCTATTTTCTTATACCTACCTACCTTCCTTCCTTCCTTCCTTCCTTTCCTTCCTTCCTTCCTTCTCCTTCCTCTTCCACCCCCCAACCCATCTCTTCACCAATCCCATCCATCTCTATCTCCTGCCTCCCTTCCTTCTCTTTTCCTTCCTTTTCCCTTTTCCATCCTCTCCTTTTCTCTTTCTCTTTCCCTTCCCATCTTCCTTTCTCCTCCTTCCTTATTTCTTCCTCCCTCTTTCCCTTCCTTTCTCCCTCCCTTTCCCTCTTTCCTTTCCTTCCTTCTCCTATTTTTTCCTCCCTCTCTTTCCCTTCCTTTCTCCCTCCCTTTTCCTCTTTCCCTTCCTTCCATTTCTTCCTCCTTCTATTTCCCTTCCTTTCTCCCTCCCTTTTCCTCTTTCCCTTCCTTCCTTCCTTCCTTCTCCTATTTCTTCTTCCTTCTATTTCCCTTCCTTTCTCCTTCCCTTTTCCTCTTTCCCTTCCTTTCTTCCTTCTCCTATTTCTTCCTCCTTCTATTTCCCTTCCTTTCTCCCTCCTTTTTCCTCTTCCCCTTCCCATCTTTCTTTCCTCTCCTCTCCTTTCTCCCTTCCCATTTTCTGTTTTGTTTTGTTTTGTTTTTTGGATTGCAATGCAACAGCCAGGAGGCTGCCTTCTTCCTCGACTGCATTTTAGAACTCTGAAACCAGTTCGGGCCGAAAAGAACAGCAAGCAATAAATATCCAGGCTGGAAATCTTCCAGTGAAGGTTGATGAGTCTCCGGTTTGTTTTACACGTCATGCTTGATTAAAACAGGCAGCTATAGTGGCAGGCCTCTAATTTAGCAGGCTGCAACTAGAGAATTATTTTTAAAATCCATTAAGGGAGGAACAGCAGCAGCAGGATCTCTCCCATTCCAATTTGGACCCCAAAAAAGTATATCTTACTTAAACACAGTGTTCACACGGAGTCCTTGGTGTACTCAGAGCTTGGCTGTATGCCTGCAGATATTTCTAAGCATTGATGATGTAAGTCGGTCAACAAATGTCTGTGAGCAAACAACCAAAGCTCAGAGAGCACCAAGGATCCAACAGTCCTTCTCTTCCTCCTCCGCTCTGCAAAACTCAACTCCCTTCTGGCCCTGATAATGTTACCTAGTACGGTCATGAAACATCTGCAAGAAACCAAGCAAACTCAGACAGCACTAAGGACCCCACAGTCCTCCTCCTCCTCCCCTTTTTCATCTCCACTCCACAATCCCCCCTTCCTTCTAGCCCTGATATTACCTAGTAGAGTCAGGAAACGTCTGCAAGAAAACAAGCCCAGATAGCACCAAAGACCCCACCATCCTCTTCCTCCTTTACCCATTCTCCTTCTCCTCTATTCCACAACCGTCACTCCCTTCTAGCACTGATGATGTTCCCTAGTTGGGTCGTGAAACGTCTGCCAGGAAACAACCAAGCTCAGAAAGTACCAAAGGACTCTACAGTCCAACCCTGACCTACAAATATTCACAGCCAGCTGACAGTTTTCTCATTCCTGCATTTCTCCTGCTTGCCATTGATGGAGCCGATGCCCCTCCGTGATCCCAAAAAATTACTATGCGTTACAGCATAATCTTTGCATAAATCCCAAGATACTCACAAATTGTTAGCTTTTCTAGCTTGGCAAAGGTGTTGCTGAGATCTTTCCCAATGCGCCTGAGAATCACAAGAGACGGGCTGTCAAATACAACTCCAAATCTTTGACAGACAATACTGTTTCCCCACTGTGAACTACCTTCTGACCAAGTTATAGGTAGTCCTGAATTTATAATGGTAATTGAGGCCAGTATTACAGTTGTCATTTGTAAAGTCGAGGAATTACAGGGCTGCACCCAATTTTATGGCATTTTTGTAGCGATACTGCCTTAAAAGACTAAGATAATAATAAGAGTTGGAAGGAACCTTAGAGGTCCTCCAGGCCAACCCCCCGCTCAAACAGGCGGTTCTATAACATTCCAGACAAATAGTGGTCCAATCTCTTCTTAAAAACCTCCACCCACAGCTTCTGGAGGCAAGTTGTTCCGCTGATTAACTGTTCTGTCAGGAAATTCCTCCTTAGTTCTAAGTTGCTTCTCTCCTTGATTAGTTTCCACCCGTTGCTTCTTGTCCTGCCTTCAGGTGCTTTGGAGAATAGCTTGACTGTTCTCCAAGGTATATTCATTAACTGGCAGAGACATGGTTAACAAAGTCAGCAAGTGAGTAAGCATGGCAACAGACCAGCCAAGGAGAGCTGACAGCCTGGGTGTAGTTTGGCTGTGTGCTTTGCTGAGAATTGGAAGATAAACTAGCTTGCTTGCTAACTGAAACTGGTATCTGCTCTGAGCTGCTGCTGTTTGTGTTTCCGCTGATGTTAAGTTGAAAGAATCTACAAATGGTATTGTAAACTTTATTTCGTATTACGTTTATAAAGAAGTTAATGATCCTGCTGAATCAGTGTGTTTTCTGGACTTGAATTTATGCTGCAAACTCTAACATTGACTTCCTTTTCGTTGAGGCAGCCCCTCAAATATTGAAACCCTGCTATCACATCTCCCATAATAGTCCTTCTTTTCAATAAACTAGACATATTTAATTCCTGCAAATGTTATTCATATGTTTTATCCTCCAGCCCCCTAATTATCTTGGTTGCTCGTCTCTGCGCTCTTTCCACAGTCTCAACATCTTTTTTATATAGTGGTGACCAACACTGGATAAAATATTCCAAGTGCGGCCTTATCAAAGCCTTAAAAAAACAGTATTAACTCTTCACATGCTCTTGGTTCTATCCCTCTGTTAACGCAGCCGTGTCTCCACGCGGCCCACCCTGACTTAACGGGTCAACCTTGCTAGACATAAAGGGCCCAAGGTGCTTACTTAGCCATGAGAGTAAATTCACTTCGTTGCCGGATGGCTCCACTCTGAGCCGGCTTGTTTATGTGAAGCCCATTCTGGAAATGGAAAAGCAGAAAGAGAAAAATGGCTTTTTTACTCCATCAAAAACCAAAGTCTATATATCCTTACTTTTCCGGGGGGGTGGGTGGGAAAAATATTAATTTAGGTTGTGCATTTTCCTAACGCTGGGCAGGAGACTAACGGCTACTTCCTGTCTTTTTAAGATTTCAATCACAGCAGGGAAAGCCAGCTGTTTATTCCCTCCAGCCAAACAATCTCACACTGAGAATCATCCAAAGGACAAAGCTGAAAGTTTTGGCACAGTGGTTGTGGGGGGGGAAAAAAAGCAATTTGTAGTCGGAATTACACTGGAAAATGGGAAGTTGGTTCTGACTTCTTTTCCACAAGACTGCCAGGACTGAAGGGAGAAAACATTTCCCACTTCTTCTCACGTCCCAGAAAAATTCCCCGGAAAGAAAATAGGGATAGAATAAATCCATTTTCTTCCAGGCATCTGGATTTCAAGCTACAAAGAACCTCTGATTTTTAAGAGAGTTTTGTGGGAGGTGCAGAGGGTGAACAAGGTTTTAAGAGGCTCAGGGCCAAACCAGGGAGGGTGAATTTCTGCAGGTCAGGATTTCTACCTTTCTAACTGCATTGAAGCACCGTTTCTATGGATTTTTTTCTTCACGCTATCAGGACCCCGTGGGACCAACATACAACCCCAAGCTTTTCGTAAGGTGCTGCCTTCTACAACGTCAACCCCGCCTCGGTCCAGGGTTCAACGGGATGATCAAAGCAGCATCGAGCATGGGGGGGGGGGTCTTCCTTGCCCCCCCCCCCCCCCGCCTCCCCTACTCACTTCTCTGCTTTGCAAGGACTTGCAGGCCGAGCGGAACTCGTGGGTGCGGTCCTGACATGACATGGCGTCCCACTGAGGTTGGGGAAGGCTGATGGGGGCAGCAGTGGTTGCCGCAGGAGGGGCACCCAGCGGAGAGAAAGCTTGTGTCTGGGACGGCCCCAGGTAAACGCCTTCTTCAGTGTTTTGGGAGCCGTGGCGTTTCCTCGTATTCATGGAGGCTCATAACCTGTGGCTGTAGGGAAGAAAGAGATTAGAGAAGAGCAGGGTGGGAAACAACCTTGACTTGACTTGACTTGTCATTGCACCTCGTACAACAAAATTAAATGCAATCGTCAGTGTACATTATACATAAAAAAAATAAAACAAAAACACACATCCTTCACTCTCTACACTATTGCACTGAAAACCTCTGACATTGCATTAATATCAATCTGGAACCCACATTACGTATCTGATATTAACGCAGTTGAGAAAGTCCAGAAATATTTCACGAGAAGAGTTCTCCGCTCCTCTACTCGTTGCAGAAGACCTTATGCCACCAGATTCGAAATTCTAGACCCTAGAAAACTTAGCACTACGCCGCCTTCGGTCTGATCTTAGTATGGTAAATAAAACCATACAAAAACCATAGTAAGTTAAAATACACTCTATAGTGCAGTGGTAGAAAGTCACCAGCAGTTTTTCATTCAGTTGTTGCTTCCTGAAAAGTCTCAGGTAGTATAATGTCTTGGAGGTCATCCAGCCCAACCCACTGCCCAAGCAGGAAATCCTAGACCATTCTGGATTAGCGGCTCTCCAATCTCTTAAAAACCTCCAGTATTGGCAGCACCCACAAGTTCTAGAGGCAAGTCATTCCACTGATTTAATTTTTCTGTCAGGAAATTTCGTAGTTCTAGGTTGCTTCTCTCCTTGATTAGTTTCAATCCGTTGCTTCTTATCCTGGCTTCTGGAATTAGAATCCACAGAATAACAGAGTTGGAAGGGATCTTGAAGGTCTTCTAGCCTACCCCTTTGCTCGAGCAAGAGACCCCACATGAAAGATTACCACGAAATATGGCTACCATTTTAATATATCCATATCTATTTGTAAATATTTGTCCCACATGAATTTGTTCCTCTTTTGGTTTAGTTTTATTTTCTTTTTCTTTCTGCAGGATCATTGTTGCATATTGTTTAATAAAAGAGAATTACTTTTGTTTTCAATTACTAAAAGCAAAACAAAATAAAAAAAGAACAAGGGAAACTTTTAATTTATGCGTATGAAAGCTGGAACATGAGAGCTGACCCAAAACTAAAAATGAAAGACACAACAAGCATGGAGAGTTTTTCTAAATAACACCCAAGACTGAAACTGAATAGGAAACCAACAATACTCTGAACTTCCTGACAAAAGTGAAACTTCTCTATTTAAGTCACTTGTTGAAACTACCCAAGTCAGCTTTTCTAACCTTTAGAGCAAACTGTTTATTTGACAAAGCTGGGTTGTTGTTTTTTTTCTGCCTGACTTCTCAAGTGCCATAAAAATCAATCTGAACCAAGTTTCCCTAATCTGTGTTCATGCAACAATGGTTGGGTGGGAAAGGACCTATTTTGTCAAAAGTGCAATACTTCAATTATCAATAGAAACTATTTGTAGCTCGGGGTTGAACTGTGGGGTCTTTGATGCTCTCTGAGCTTCGTGGTTTTCTTGCAGACGTTTCATAACCCAACAAGGTAGCTTCATCAGTGCTAGAAAGGAATGGGGCTTGTTGCAAATGCCCCTTCTAATATTGATGACATTATCTAGTCTGGCAGTGAAAGGTCTGCAAGAAAACCACCAAGCTCAGAGAGCACCAAGGGCCTCACTTCAATCATCATTGGGCCAATCACTTACCATGAAATTAAAATAAACTATTATGGGGTTCCTGAATGGTCTCCTGCTCAGGAACTGGCAAAACCCAACCCTGCTTATTAGCTTCACCAAGTTTGCTACATCATACAGTCTGTCTTTTTTGGCCTCCCCATTTCAGTGGGAAGAATTGAGGAATTACTAATATTAATATGTTCTGCCTGAGCATATGGAAAGAAAATATATCTAAATATTCCTGAAGGGAAGATAGAAATTCTACGTATAACGATGTTTTATTCTAATGCCAGAAAAAAAATGAAAAGCAAGAAACAAAAAGTTTTCGTTGCACCAAAATCCTACACTTGCTGCAGTCAGCTGACGGCAACAAACACAAGAAAACCTTCCCTCCTCAATTTATTTCACCACAGCCCTGCAAGGTAGGTTCGGTCAAAAGCCCGCAAAGTTAACTGACAGGTGGAGGGGAGGATTTGAACCTGAAGCCAAAGGAAAGAGAGGAAGGAAGGAAAAATAATCTGACCCTCCCGAGCGAACACAGACACCCAATTTGGGTTGAACCACCAGGCTGGGGAGGATGGGAGGTGTAGCTCAAGTGGGTCAGGGACCTCTAATCTCACCCCACCAGGCTGGGGAGGATGGGAAATGTAATTCAATTGTCTTGGGGACATCTACTCCCCTCACCTCCTCATACCGGGGAGGATGGGAGATGTAGTTCAA